CTGCTGCAGGAGTGAGCAGATGCCCACCATCCCTTCGCTTCCATCGTTGTGGGACAACTGGGCCGACGGAATTTGGAGACCTCAGCTGCGGCCGCCTCTGGAGATCCCCAGCCTTGACGTATATTTTGATGGGGGCCCAGAAATGATATCCCAGCCCTCGCGAGCTCAAAGGCCATTGTCCAGCAACCATACTTCAATTTAAACGATTTCAACGTGACAATCGTCAATTGCATGTCGAAGCCCTTCATCCCCAACGCCATCTTCTTTCTTATATTACCTCCCGTCTCCTCCCCGACCAGCTCCAGTTCCTTTTCTTTAGGAGGTTAGTATAGTGACCCCCCAACGCTCTCACCTTATTGCCCAAATCCCTTGGTCCGAAGTCCGTTCCTGTCCCCCCCCCCCCCTCCAGGCGCGCTGCCGCCCTCGAAACTCTCGCGGGGGGGGGGGGGGTCGCGGCTTCAAATTTTCAGAAATTCGAGCCGCGCCCTTTCTAGGTTGTTCAGCTAGACCCTCCTTCGAGCACAGATGGAGTTGCCACCGCCTCCTCCGTCTTGCCTCTCCCCGCCCGATCCTTGCCCTATCCGGCGCCTCGGTCTCCTCCGCCCATCCCGCCTTGCTATTAGTCCTGTCGTCCGCGCTCCCGCTCTCCACAGCATTGTTCGGGATTCGCAGGCCCCGCGCGCGTCGAGGTCGCTCGACGCTGCCGCCAGGTTGGCCCGCCATCAGGTGGCCAGGCCTTCGGCGAGGTGAACCAGCTCAGGCAGGACCGACCTGGGCACGCTCGAGGAGGAGAGGAGGAGGGGGGCGAGGACGAGGGGGGGGAAGAGGAGGAGGAGGAGAAAAGGCGCCAGTCTAGCGTAAAACGGGGGGAGTCTCGGGCGGGAGCGCAAGTTTTGCCGGGGCGGGCGCTGTCGGCGGCGAGCAAGGGCACTTCCTGAGTAAGAAAGAGAGGAAGTCTCGAGCGGGAGCGCTGTTGTCGCTGGGGGGGGGGGGGGGGGGGGGGGGGGGGGCGACGAGAGGAAGAGCAGCGCGCCTGTCCAATGTAAAACGGGAGGAAGTCTCGAATGGGAACGATGCTGCTGCTGGGGGGCCGGTTTTGGCGCCCCCCCCAAAACTTTTCGAGGGCGGGCTTCATTTTCAATGGGAATGCAGCCGGCGCTTCGGCGAGAGCGCCTGAGCGCCCGTAAGGGGTCCGACAAAATCATTGCTTACGCTTACTAATCAGCACTCAACGACAACAGCTCTCGCCTGATGCTGCTTCACATGTTTTACAGGTCGCGCTCTTGTGCGGAAATTCCCTGTAACGCATCCAAAAATCGCGCTCTCGCGCGTGGTTTTCGCATTGAGACGCCGCGCCTTCGGCGGACGGGAATCACGTTTCGCCGTGGAATTCCCCTTACATGGACATTGCGCTTTGATTCGATACTTTCCCGCGATATATGAAAGACTGACGTTTCAGCAGCGCGCCCACTCGACCTGGCCGTCCGGGCTCGCCCGCCCGACCCGCCCGTTAGGGTCTTCCCGCCCGACCAATTAGATAGGTTCTGTGGTTTCTAACCCGCTCTCCTGCTGATTCGTCTCGTGCTTCATTTTCCTTCTCCTTTTTGTCTATTTGTTTCATCCCTTCCTTCCCCTGTTTTAGGGGCCGTGCCAACTACACGGCGCAGGTACGGAAGACAACGCGTTACGAATAGGCATGTTGAAACTGGCAGATAGGAGAGTCTAGCCTCAAACTGGTTGTTAAGTATTCATGTGTAGAGAACGAGTATTGTTGATTTCCCCCTCCAACTCACCAGATGTTGTTGAATTCAGGTGCCGGTCCAGGGGCTCACACCTTGTTTTGTAAGGAAATTTCTCCGACCTCAGACGACGCTTTTGGCCCCCAAACTACAACAATGTCTCTCGCCTGATACTTCCCCACCATATATTCACATTCGCGCACCCACCTGGGACTTCCCGCCACTTCATCAAGTAACATCGCTCTCGTGTGGGACTTCCCTCCCACGCCGCGCCCCCAACACTCAGGACCCCCATTCTCTTTTTGGCCTTCCTTGATATTTGTTTGGGAGCCGCGCTACCGCTAGAGCTTTCGTCGCGACTCATGCAGGATTGACGCTTCAGCAACCCGCCCGACGGCGGACGACTGACGACGGACGACGGCGGCGGCGACGACGACGGCGACGGCGACGGCGACGGCGGCGGCGACGGTGGCGGCGACGGTGGCGGCGACTGCGACGGCGGACGGCGGACGACGGCGACGGCGACGGCGACGGCGACGGCGACCACTACGACGACGGCCTCTGCGACAGCGACGGCGGCGGCGATGGCAATGGCGACGGCGACGGCGACGGCGACTGTGGGCCGGGGGGGCCCCTTCGGTTCGACCGCCTCTCCCCCCTTTTCGGACCCTCGGTGGGGGGGACCCCCCCTCGGTTAGGGAGGCCGGTGTCCAGGAGGGTGGGGCGAGGGGCTGTCCCCCAGGGATGCTCAAAGCGTTGGTGGGGAGCGGCCGCCCCCGGGTCCAAAGTGCCAAAATGTTTTTCCAAGCAAGCGTCCACGGACTCTTTTTCAAGGCCTTCGCGCCCATGCCGCGCCGAGCTCCACGCCCAGCCCGCGCCCCCCCCGGCCACCCTTGATGTGCGCTCTCGCGAAAATGCGCGAGAGCGCGCCCGCCGCCTTGCTCGAGCCGCCTTCGGGGTGACTCCAGGCCTCGCTCGCTGGTCCAAACGCCGCCCTCGATCGGGCCGACCCTCGATCGATCGATCTATCGAACGTCGAGGCGAGGCGCCAGTCCCTCCCTGCGGGGACCCCCGAAGGGTGTGGTGACCACGCCGCGCGGTGAGTCAGTGGGGATCCGGGGTCACCGCACGATTTGGGGACTCGGATCGGTCTCCGAGGACGCCTCGGGCGACCGTGCGGTGACGGACCGTGCGCTGAGGTCTCTTCGGGATTCCCATTTCACCACGCGGTCCGTCACCACACGGTCTCGGGACCCCGAATAGTTTTTGTCGCCCTCGCTTCCGCGCCCACCCCGCGCCGATTCCCGAGCTTAGCTCGCGCCTCTCCCTCCCCCCCGGGCCTCCCCGTGTTCCCGCCCTCGCGCGGCAACGCGCGAAAAACAGCGCGCCCGCTCCGCCTTGCGCGGGTTGCCCACGGAACTCAACGGCGGGCTTCTCTCATTCGTGCACCGCTTTCGTTCGATTGACCAGTCGAGCCTCCTTCTCTGCCTTTTTGCTGCTCGCTACTTGCTGCTCGCTGTTCGCTGCTCCTTCTCCGCCTCCGCCTCCGCCTCTCACTCCTCCGGCTCCGCCCCCCCTCCGCTTCCGGCTCCGCCTCCCCCCCCTCCTCGTCCTCCTCCTCCTGCGCCTCCTCCTCCTCCTCCTCCCCCTTTTCAGAGATCCGAGGCACCGCTCGCCATCGATCGACCAATCGAGCTGTCAAGGAGTGGCCTCGACCCAAAGATTCGAAGCCCCATCAAAAATTGGAGCGGCTGGCCTTAGAGCGGGCCCGCGGACCATCAGACAGTTCTTCTTACCAGCCTGGAACATATCCCTACCCCTTTGCTGGGCATCTCCTCATCACGATGCCAATCTTAGGGATTCCCTTGTTTTTTGAGGGTGGATCCCTAAGATACTCATCGCCTTTTGGCGTGTCAATCTCAAGGATAAGGGTCAGTTCGAGGCTGGTAGTCTTCGGTGCGAGAAATCGGTGGTCCTGACATCCGGGCGCCTAGGCACGACAAACATTCGGAGGGCCGCATGTCTGGGGAGGACCGGCCTCGATCGGTCGATCCATCGAGCGCCGAGGACTGACGATCGATCGGCCGAGCGCCGAGGAGTGACCGGAAGCGGCCTCGACCGACCGAGCGAGCGAGCGCCGAGGATGTTTCGAGGAGCGGCTGCGATGGATCGGTCGGTCGATGGCGCGCCCTGTTCCCTGGCATCCGCTGAGCGGTGTGTGTCAATCTGCGGCCCCGGAGGTCCCGACCCTTTCCCCTGGGGCTGGTTTTCTCCGCGGATCCAAAGTTGGATTCTTCCAGGGCCCGAAAATTGCCCCCACGGCCGGAATCTAGGGAAACCTTCAGGTGAAAAAACCATATCGTCTCAGATTTGGGAAGCCTTGAAATCCGACCTTGCGAAACAAATGCAACATCGCCAGGCATCACTGCCAGTGCCCCAGGCATCATCTTTCTACGGCCTGTTTCGACCTGGATGGATATGTGGTCCTGGGGCCCGACACAAGGCAAGAACGCCCAGTGTTGAGGAGGAGGAGGAGGAGGAGGAGGAGGAGGAGGAGGAGGACGAGGACGAGGACGAGGACGAGGACGAGGACGAGGACGAGGAGGAGGAGGAGGAGGAGGGAGGAGGAGGAGGAGGAGGAGGAGGGGGAGGGGGAGGGGAGGAGGAGGAGGAGGAGGAGGAGGAGGAGGAGGAGGAGGAGGAGGAGGAGGAACAATTGCAGCGCCCAGATCTCAGGGGTCGACCGATCTGTCGGTCCATCGAGCGCCCCGTTGCTTCCCATCGTACGGTTGGCGTGCGATGTGGCGCCGCCGGCCCGCTCACTTCACGCTTCGGGAGGGGAAAAAACACACAGACACAATTAATCCTCGATTCCCCAGAAAATATTGGAAAATATGGGAAGTGGGGGGGAAGACAGAAGCCTAGAAAATATTTGAAAATATGGGGAATATCTTTATTTGTGTGTATTTATTTGTGTGTCCTGGGGCCCCTTCAACGCTATCCCCCACCTCTGCATTCTGGGGACCGCCTGCACCGAAGCCCTGGCAGGCGTGCACAAAAGGGGCTCTCGCGGGGGGGTCGCCCCACAGGGACAGCGTGATGGTTCGCAGTTTGTGGCCTCTCGGGGCCCTCGCCGGGCCCTGGGCCAGTCAGGCAAGCGGCTGGTCCCAGAGGAACGATCGGGACTTGCGGAGAACGCGTGTTGCAAACATCAGGACGTCGCCTGTCTGGGTCTCAGCGCCAGCCGTACCGCCTCTGCAGGACCGGGAGCAGGACGTGGCCAGGGCCGGGATGCAGGCCGCTGGCCGGACGGCTGCGCCCCCCACGGTCGGGGCCATGACCCCGGCGCCGCCGCGGCCGTCGTGCCTGGGCGCGGGACTCGGGCTGCCTGTAGCGCAGGGCTGGACCTGAACGGTGTTTTGGCGATTTCGTGGGCTGTGTTCGTTTCGACGTCGTTTTGCGGTGGAGGTGGATTGAAGACAAAACAAGGGCAAACGAAAACAACACGCAAACGAAAAACACCGTTTAGGTTCAGCCCTGTTGTAGCGGTTCATGTCGATCCGATCGGTCCGATGCGGCATCGATGCCAGCCAGCCCCATCCGATGCGATTCCGATGTTCCGTCGATGCGATGTGGCCCGATGCTTGATGGCGCTGCCGTGCATCCTGGCGCAGCCGATGCGATTCCGATTCCGATTCCGTGCCGCTGCAGCCCGATCCTGCCCTGTTGCGGTTCTCGTCGGTCCTGCACTGCCCTGGAAAAGTAATGCAATTTTATGTGTCGATGTGTGCGTGTTTTCGTCACTCTTGGTTTTTCGTGTTTTTGGTAGCGCCTAGGGGAGTTTTCGGGGGGCCGTCCGAAGCGCACCCGAGATGAACAGCTCCGCATAGGGAAGCCCCCCCAGATAATTTTTCCTTTGGACATCTTAAATGACGTTAAAGGAGAGGTTGTATAGCGATTGCTATTTCCGACGCTGTCTTGGCTCAAGGCAGTACTGTCCGATTTGCTAGTTGCACAGATTTGTGTACCTGTATTTGCGGGTCATAACGACGGACACAGGCCACGTATTTTAATGAACCATCTCCCATTCCCACGGTTTCTCTCTTACCTCCCGTCTTGCTAGCCACCACGGGATGAGTTGTGGGATGCTTCGATATGTCGCCGACGTTATCCTACATAAAAGTAGGGTTATCAACTTACTCCCTCATGGTTAAGCCCTGTACTGTTTTTTTTTTTTACTTGGTAGCGGAGCTGGCTACTTACCACGGCACAGAGGAGTACCCGACTGCGCTGGCGCTCAACCGCTCCACGACCGATGCTCTCGAACCAACGGGCCATTCACAGTCCTATACCTCCATCTCCCCACCGCGTGGCCACACGCCACGCACAACCCGCACACCGACGCTTATCCGCAAGTAGGCGGCCACGTCAAACCAGACACCCAGTCGCAACCCTGCGGACGCGACAATATCGAATGATCAGCACCCTAACATCATCAGCTACAACATGGCTGTGCACTACGGTGAGGTCGCCATCTTTGGAATTATCTGGGTGTGCTATGGCCTTGCCGTGGCATGCGTGCGAGAAGGAGGAGGACTGGATGAAACATGCACTCGGGGTCCCTTCTGTTGTCCCGCAGGCAACGCACCCTGCCGCGACTCTGTTCGCGAAGTACACGCATGGCTTAACGTCGCAAGCGGAAGCATGGCTCCACTTCAACAGGCCGCAGCCTTACAGCGCGGTCCAGGGGGCTTGCGAGGACACTAGCCATGAGGGCACCGTCCACCATCATCAGGTACGGTGTCGCGCTGCAGGGGAGAGACGCACCGATGCACTCACATACGCCATGTACCTATTCAGCACCAAATTTGAAAGCCGCGAGGACGAGCGACAGCTCACCTCAGGGACAGCTGCCCTCATCGACTTCAGAGTCGAAAGAGGCGAGCGCATTGACTCAGCACTGGCCCGACTCGAGTTGGCCAGACTGAAAGCAGACTGAGTAGGCTTCAATCTACCCAACTTCCAGATCCTTACTCTGATATTATTTCGCGCCTTGGGGGTTGGCGCCTCCCGAGCAGCCCAGCTACTGCAATCGCTGAACCACCGGGTGCCCACCGGGTGCCCCCGGTGCCCAACGGCATTGCGACCAAATCTTGGAGTGCATGCGCACCCGTGGACTTTTGGCTGAGCGATCCCCAGGGATCATCGGGGGCATCTCCAGACGACGCTGCGCTGGCACTTACGACGCCGAAATAAGCGACGCACCGGCAGCCACGCCGAAGGTTTTTGGTCTTTCGGAGAGCCCACTGAGTCCACGACGCCCCCAGGCCGAGACGCCCACGACAGCAGCGAACAGGCGTTTGGCTCAAACGCGGGATGGCCGTCAGCGGCCAGCTGCACGCCACCTGGCTCAACTGCGCTTTGGGGCTCGCTCAGCCAACGAGACGACGCATTACATAGGCGTTCGAGATCCGTTCCGATAGAGCGATTGTGGCTCGTGTTTCTGGTCCGTGGCCCGCTGCTGAACAGTATGTTTTTGCGCGGCGGTTTAGTTTCGAAGCACCGGCGAACTGGGCGCCGCGCCCCGGGCCCCACTCTCGCGCGCATGCTGGAAAGACGCGGCGCCAAATGCAGTGTTTCGTTCGCGTGCAGATGTGGCCCACAGGGGCGCGCCTTGCGCGCGCGCGCTGGTCTTTCAACCCAGTGGCTCACGCAAGCCTCAACCCTTCCATCTGCAGCGCGCCCAGAGACTCCAGATACCAGGCTTGGAAAGCGCGGGCCTCAGCTGCGCCGTCCTGGATGCGTCAGGGAGCCAGGGTTCTGCTCGCACGCGGCAATGTCGTTGACTTTTCAGACCAGCCGCTCTTTTCAGAGTTCGTGCAGCAGGCATCTGCAAAGTGGACTGCCCCTCGACGCGCCTCGTTGGCACTGCCGCTCTCCGATTTCGGCGAAGCCGCAATGCTTGGCCGGCTCTGGGGGCTCGACGCGTCTACGGTTGAGCGTTGATACCTTGCAGATCAAGATGCGACGAGTCTAGCGGGATGTTTGACGCACCATATTGCGTCACGAAGCTGTTTATCAATGGCTTGCCGCGGGCTTCGCCTGAGCGTGGAACTTGGCCAGTTTTCATCGGCCGCCGCAGCCTCAGACGAGGCCGCGGGGAACGCCTTCCTCGGCGACGGGAGCAAAGCGCGTGTTCGCGAGGCCAACGAATGCGCTGTGATTCCGCGCGGGCTTCAGTTCTCGCGAGGCTCTCGACTGCTGGCGGTCAGATTAGTGCCGATCCCAGATCCGATCTCCCAGTCTTGTGGTTCCAGTCGAGTCAAGATCGCGCATCGCTTGCAGCGTCGCTGCGCGACGAAGGCGCGACAGGGAACGCCAGACAATCAGGGTTTTGGTGTGTGTTTTTTTCGCCGCGGCCCCAGACTTCCACGAATTCGTTGAAACCGTGCGGGAGCTGTTGTTGCGAAGTGCTGCTCCGAGCCCCCAGGGGTTCCACCGAAACGTCGCTCGCTCCGGCGCAGCGTGGCCGCGGGCGCGGCTTCTTGGGCGGGTCAGGGGTTATGTTGCAGTGGTCGAGCAGCCGATCAATTGCACGACGTGCGACTTCTGGCCAGTCCGCGAAGTTCTCCGTTTTACCGAATCGCAGAGGGTGGCGACGTGGATGTCAGGTCTTGTATCTGCCCACCAGAAAAACCTCGACCTGCATAGGGCGCGCCCACAGGACACGCGACGCAACCAATCTGGAGGAGAAGGGCGGAAGGGGGGGGGCGAGGAGGAGGGGCGGGGCGCGGGCGAGGAGGCGGGGGCGCAGTTCGAAACGAGGGGGGGGGGGGGGGGCGCGGAGTCAATCGGTCGCCGATCCGTCGCCACTCCACCGCCGTTTCATCGCCATCGATGGATCTGCGATGGAGATGCGGCGGGGTGTCGATGGAGTGGCGATCGGTTGTCCCCCTGCTTGCGTTCGTTGTGCTCGCGCCCCTGATTGGGGCCCGATGAAACTGAGGACCCCCCGGACACGTACTTCGTTAAGTCCGAAGCTGGCTGCGCCGAAAGGGTTCTCGATCAGGGCCTGAGCATTGAATCGCTGACAACGTTCGCCCAGATTGCGCGGTCTGCGCTAATTCAGCGCGGTCTGGCATCGCAGAATGAGGGGGCTTAGATTTGAGCTTCCGGGGGCAACCCCCGCGGGCCACCTCGGATTCGCGGGGGGCGCTCCTGCGGCGTGCGACGGCCCCTTCGCCTCTCTTACCCTGCAAGCCGCCGAGGGCGAGGAGGCGGGAGGGGCGGGGGAATGGAACGAGGATGGGCGGGGGAGGAAGGCTTGCCAATGAGCGAGGGGGGAGGGGGGGGGGCGAGGGGGGGGAGCAGTGCGGCGAGGGGCAAACTCTCTGTCCCTGGCTGCGGAACGAAGACAAGAGAAACATGTCGCAGCCCCATCGCCACTCCATCGCCGTTCCATCGCCATCCCATTCCATCGCCACCGATGAAGCTCCGATGGAGATGCGATGGAGTGGCGATGGAACCGCGATACGTTGTCTCTCCTTATTACTACCGTGCCCTCATCTCCCCTCCTCTTACAGTCGGCGCGGATTAGTAGGTCGACCCTGCCAAAGCAAGAAAACCTTCGTGTCTTGTGTCTTGCGCCCCATGCTTCTTTACCTTTCCATGGCAATGTGGCCTTCGGAACCTCGGAAGGGTCTTGTGTCCTCTCGCGCGCCCTGTCCAATCATGTCCGGCTATGCTCTCACCTCGCTCTCACATCCCCCTTCTCCTTCGCTTATCTCTAGCGCGTTCCACTTCGGCATTCCCCATCGCCCTCGCAGCCCGCCCGCCATTCCCGCGCCCCCCCCCCCTCGTCTTTGTCGTATCCCATTTTATCTATGTATTGTATTTGTTCGTCATCCCCACTCTCCCCTTCCGCCCGTCTCGATCTTCCCCCCGCAACTTTCCCCCTGGCCACCCCCTCCCCCGCGGCCGCCCCCCGCCCCCCCGCCGACGCCCCCATGTCGGCGCAGCCGGGCAGGCACGAGTGCATTTCAAGGAGCGCGGGCCCGATGCCGAAACGCAGACGGTAGGCGGAGCGGTTCGCGGCGCGCCACCAGAAGCGGCCCCCTTTTCGCGGCCTTGCCGGTTGCGAGAGGGTGATCCAACCTGCGAAGCGTTACGCAGATTACGACGATGTCTGGTGGATAAACGCGTCGCCCGTGGAGGTGTCACCTACTGAGTCGTGGACTGGGTGAATCGCCATCGTGTTCATGGGCGTGACTTACAAGATTCTTTGTTGCCTTGAACAAGACCGCCTGTGTTTACTGTTATTGGAATTTCATGGGCAAGGGGGCAAGGGCTCGTTGCAATGCATTCAGAAGCGCGGGCGCACATGGGCACCGCCACCTGATTATCTTTAAGCACCGCCCCGCCACCTGAATATTTCTATGCCACCCGCGAGATCGCCTCCGGGGACGAGCGCTCGCAGTAGGAAGAGGCACCGATGCCGCTGCCCTTCCATGCCAGGAGGACGTTTGAGAGGAGGAACAGGAGGAAGAGGAGGACTCCTCAGAGGATCGACGTGTAGTCGTAGCCGTAATAATAGTAGTAGTAGTAGTCGTCGTCGTCGTAGTAGTAGTCGTAGTAGTAGTAGTAGTAGTAGTAGTAGTAGTCGTAGTCGTAGTCGTAGTCGTAGTCGTAGTAGTAGTAGTAGTAGTAGTAGTAGTAGTAGTAGTAGTGGTGGTAGTAGTAGTAATAGTAGTAGTAGTATAGTAGTAGTAGTAGTAGTCGTAGTAGTAGTAGTAGTAGTAGTAGTAGTAGTAGTAGTAGTATTAGTAGTAGTAGTAGTAGTAGCAGTAGCAGTAGCAGTAGCAGTATCAGTAGCAGTAGTAGTCGTGGCAGTCGGAGTAGCAATCGCAGTCGCAATCGCAATAGCAGTAGTAGTTCTAGTAGCAGTAGCAGTAGCAGTAGTGGTAGTAGTAGTAGTAGTAGTAGTAGTAGTCGTCAAACTAGTAGTGCTATAGTAGTAGTAGTAGTCGTCGTCGTCGTAGTAGTAGTAGTAGTAGTAGTAATATCAATAATCATACGAGTAGGTGTCTGACTACGCGTAGTGGTGTTGGTAGTAGTAGTAGTAGTAGTAGTAGTAGTAGTTGTACTAGTAGTAGTAGTAGTCGTAGTAGTAGTAGTAGTAGTAGTAGTAGTAGTAGTAGTAGTAATGGTAGTATCAGTAGTAGTAGTGGTAGTAGTAGTAGTAGTAGTAGTAATAGTCGCAGTAGTATTAGTAGTAGTGGTGGTGGCAGTAGTGGTGGTAGTAGTGGACGTAGTGGTAGTAGTAGTAGTAATGGTAATAGTGGTCGTAATAGTAATAGTAATAGTAGTAGTAGTAGTAGTAGTAGTAGTAGTAGGCGTAGGCGTCGTCGTCGTCGTCGTCGTCGTAGTCGTAGTCGTAGTAGTAGTAGTAGTAGTAGTAGTAGTAGTAGTAGTAGTAGTAGTAGTAGTAGTAGTAGTAGTAGTAGTAGTAGTAGTAGTAGTAGTAGTAGTAGTAGTAGTAGTAGTAGTAGTAGTAAGTAGTAGTAGTAGTAGTAGTAGTAGTAGTAGTAGTAGTAGTAGTAGTAGTAGTAGTAGTAGTAGTAGTAGTAGTAGTAGTAGTAGTAGTAGTAGTAGTAACACTAGAAGAAACAGCAGTGATCGCTCCTCCTCCGACCGCCTGTGACCCGCGGCGTCCGCGTCCTCCTCCTCCTCTTCCTCTTCCTCCTCCTCTTGCCCCCTCTCCTGCTCCTTCCCTTCCTCCTCCTCCTTCCCCGCTGCCTCCTCCTCCTCGCCCTTTCCTCGCCCTTCCCCCGCCCCTCCCTGCCCCTTCTCCTCCTCCACCTCTTCCTCCTGCTCCTTGTGGCTTGGCGGGGGGTGGGTGTGTAGTGGGTGGGTGGGCGATGGGTTGATGGCGGGTGGGCGGTGGGTGGGTGGCGGGTGGCGGGCGGGTGGCGGGTGGGCGGTGGGTGGGCGGCGGGTCGGTGGGTGGGTGGGTGGCGGGTGGCTGGTGGGCGGGTGGTGGGCGGATGGTGCATGGGCGGGTGGTGGGTGCGTGAATGGTGGGTGGTTGGCGTTTGCATTTTCAGATCGAGCCAATCTGTTTGGCCCGTCTAGAATATTGAAAGCGGCGTGGGCCGCAAGTTTGGCCCGTGAGTTGGTCTTCGGGGGATGGCCCCGCGCAGGCGGCTTATGCGTTTTCTCTAAGATTGGAGGCAGGGGGGGGCGCGGGGGGCAACGAGGACTCGACGACGCAGGATGGGCATGGCCATTGGATAAGGCGGGTCGGGCGCGTCGGGCAGAACATGCGTTCGAGTTCACTTGTAAGATGTGGAAACTATGTGGTAATTATTTTGCACCGGGTGTTTTTAAGCCGCTTCTTAGTGCTTAAATCAATTTCTGATTTTTTTTTGGGGAACATTAAATCGTTTTCCCCTACCTAGGCTCTGCCTAGAAGAGTTCTTGCTCTCTTATTAGCTTAGAGGGGCCGGGCAGTGCTACACGCCCCTGGCGGTTCCCCCAGTCCCCTGGGAGCGGTTCCCCCAGTCCCCTGGGAGCTTTAGCTTTAGCTTTAGCTTTAGCTTTAGCTTTAGCTTAGCTTTAGCTTAGCTGTCGCTTAGCTTTAGCTTAGCGTTTCGCTCGGCGTTTCGCTCAGCGTTTCGCTTAGCTTCAGCTTAGCTTGAGTTTAGCTGCAGCCTAGCTTTATCTTAGCTTTAGCTTAGCTTTCGCTTATCTTTAGCTTAGCTGTAGCTTAGCTTTGGCTTAGCTGCTGCTCAGCTTTAGTTTAGCCTTAGCTTAGCTTTGGCTTAGCTTTAGCTTAGCTTTAGCTTAGCTTTAGCTTAGCTTTAGCTAAGCTTCAGCTTAGCTCTTTATTTAGCCTAGCTTTAGCTTAGCGTTACTGTTACTACTAATGCTTCTTTCCTGGGGGTTCCAACTCCTAGGTAGGGTCGCACTGGGATAATCTTATTTTCTCGGCGCACCTAATTTTTAAGTTGTTCCCTACCTAGGCTCTGCCGAGAAGGGTTCTTGGGTTCTTACTGTGTTGGCTTAAAGGGCCGTGCAGTGGAACGCGCCCCGGGCGGTTCCCCCAGGATCCGCCACGCGGTTCCCCCAATCCCCTGGGAGTTCTAGCTTTAGTTTAGCTTTAGCTTAGTTGTAGCTTAACTTCAGCTTAGCTTCAGCTTTAGCTTAGCTGTAGCTCAGCCTTAGCATTGCTGTAACTTTGCTGTAGCTTTGCTTTAGCTTAGCTTTAGCTTAGCTTTAGCATCGCTTCATCCTAGCTTTATCATAGCTGTCGCTTAGCTAGCCTAGCTTTCGCTTAGCTTCAGCTTCGCTTTAGCCTAGCTTTAGCTTAGCTCACGCTTAGCTTTAGCTTAGCTTTCGCTTAGCTTTAGCTTAGTTTTAGCTTAGCTGCAGCTTAGCTGCAACTTAGCTTCAGCTTAGCTTCAGCTTAGCTTTAGCTTAGCTTTAGCTTAGTTTTAGCTTAGCTCGAGCTTAGGTTTAGTTTAGTTTTAGCAGGGCTTTCGCCTAGCTTTCGCTTAGCTTTAGGTTAGCTCTAGTTTAGATTTAGCTTACTTTTACTGTTACTACTAATGCTGCTTTCCTAGGGGCTCCAACTCCTAGGTCGGGTCGTACTGGGATAATTGAGCCTATGGGTCGGTTCGGCATCTTGAGCATTTGGGAGGCCACGGAGTGTAGATCTGGAGACCATTGGGGCCTGCATCGGGGCTGGGGCCAGGGCCGGAGCAGGCTGGGAGCCAGGGCCCGGGCCGAAGCCGGGCTTGCGGCCGGGGCCACGGCCGGGGCCGAGCGAGGCCGGGACTGGGTCCAGGGTTGGGGCCAGGGCGGGAACCAGGGACCGGGGCCAGGGCCGGGGCCGGGGCTGGGATTCGGGCTGGGGCCGGGATTGGCCGAGGCCGACGCCGGGGCCGGAACCGGAGCCGGGACTGTGGTTGGAATGGGGCCAGGGCCGGGGCTGGGACCAGCTGCGGTCGGGGCCGGGGCCAGGGCCACAAACGGGCATCGGGACCGGGAACCAGAGCCGGGAGCTGGGGCCGGGGCCGGGGTTGGGACCAGCCGCGGCCAGGGCAGCACATAGATTGAATTGCATGTGATGCTTCGCATCGGTTGCGTAAATTATTTGCGCGCGTTTACTTATATGTGTAGCGTGTATGTATGTACGTATGTATGCATGTGTATATTTTGCACATCGCAAGTTGCACCGCGTAGGTTGCACATAAAGATTACACCAAGTAAATCGTACCATGTTCACTGCGCATGGTTAGTTTCAATGGCACCCCAAATCCCCGACACCTCGCGTCGTGAACAGATCACGGGTGAATGTTTAACAGCTTTCAACCTCTAGGGGCCTTGGTGTGTCCCAGGGCCGTCAAAGTAACGACGCCCGATGACACCTTCGGCGCGGTGGAAAAGGGTGGGATTTCGAGGGACCACGTTTCCAGAAAACAAAAAAGTTGTCGTCGATTGGAGATTTTCGCCCAGGGCCGTCTGTTTTGGGAAATTGTCGTACGTCGAATCGAGAAATATCGTCGGCGACCGATCTCGGCGCATGCGCGTTCAAGCCCGCCACCGCGATCGATCGGGGGGCGGGGGTTCCTGCCCGGAGCGAGGGCTAGAGGTCCCACTTACGTGAACGGGGCGGGGGGAGTTTGCAGTCTATTGATGAAATTTAGGTCGATCCCGCGGCCCGCGGCCGCGGCCAGATCCCGGCCGCCGCGATCCCGAGGCCCAGACCACCCGCGCCCGAGCCTTGCCGGGTGCGGTGCTGTACCGGTGGCGGCGAGCCCGCAGTTGCCGATCCGGCGCCTACGTTTCGATTCCCCGGACGCCAGGCCCCGCTGCCGGCCCCTGCCGCTGGCGACCGTTGAGGGCCACGATGGCCACGGCGACAAAAACGACGACGGCTACGACGGGCACGACGACGACGGCCACGACGACGGCCACGACGACGACCATGACCACGGTCACGACGACGACGACGACGACGACGACGACGACGACGACGACGGTCACGGTCGAGACAGCAGCGGCAGCGACGACGACCGCGGCGCCCACCATCGCCACTGTGGGCGCTGCCGGCGCGTGGAGGCGCCGGGAAATCCAGTTCGCGAACCGTTCCTTGGCTGATTATCCCCCCTCCTCCTCCCTCCTCCCTCCTCCCTCCTCCTCCCTCCTCCCTCCTCCCTCCCTCCTCCCTCCTCCCTCGTCCCTCCTCCCTCCCCCCTCCCCCCTCCCCCCTCTCCCTCCCCCCCCTTCGTTCACCTGAGTTCTCCCCGACGAAATGCGCAATTTCTACATGGATTGGTGGGTCCTTATGGACCGCCCTGTTGCCGAGCCGCGTTTGGCCTCACTTGTCGCCATTCGTATGTCCCTCTCGATCCGTCTGGAGCCTTTTCGGGAATCGTATTGTTGGGGTGTCTCTGGGCCCTCTTGCGGCGTCAGGGGGTCATTTTTCGATTCTGTTGGGGCCATGTTGATGCCATTGCTAGCCACCTTTGGATCTTCGGAGGCATTCGTGGACTCTTCCATAACCAGGACATTGCAAATACCATAAGTATTTAGGAGCCTTGGTGTTAGGTAAGTTCTGGCCTTGGGGTCTCTTAGGCCGTCTTGAAGGCATCGTGGGGCCCGCTTATCCCGTCTTGAGGGGATCCGAAACCATCTTGGAACATATCCAGTGGCCCGCAGCATGTCCCGCCACCGTGCCAGTCCTGGCCCAGCAGTTTGGGTGGCTCTTCTTGGAGGGGGCACGGAAAGCCGTCACGTGTGACACCTCGTGCCTCCAGGCTTGGGAGAGCCGTGATAAGGATGACGATAAGTACGAGCATGATGATGATGATGATGATGATGATGATGATGATGATGATGATGATGATGATGATCGGTGATGCTTATGAGGGTGGTGGTGGTGTTGGTGGTGGTGGAGATGATGATGATGAGGAGGATGATGATGCCGACGACGATGATGATGGTCATGTTGAGGATTCTGATTATGATGACGATCATGTTGATGACGGTGGTGGCGATGATGATGATCGTGATGATGGTGGTGATGATGATTGTGATGCCGATAATGATGGTGGTGGAGCTCTTGATGATAATGTTTTTTTGGTGGCTGATGCAGATGATATTGATGTTGGTGATGATGATGTTGATGATGCTGGTGATGATGATGTTGCTGCTGATGGTAATGAAGATACTGATGCTGGTGATGATGATGCTGATGATGCTGCTGATGATGATGCTGATGATACTGATTATGATGACGATTGTGATGGTGTTGATGATGCTGATGATGATGCCGATGATGCTGATGGTATTGATGATGATGAGGATGATGAATATGATGATGGCGATGATGGAATTCGTTTCGGCAGTCATGGGGCTGTCTTGTCCTCCTGTGAGGTAGTCTTGGGGGTCCCTTTGGGCCGTCTCGTGCCGTCTTGGAGCGCTCATACGCCGACTTGGAGGTTCTTAGGCCGTCTTGGGGACATCGTGGCCGTATACTGGGTGTCGGGGGTTGTGAGCACCTGGGGGGCTGGGACGGTCGCGGATCTTGCGGCGGGGAATCAGCCTGGAGTCTCGCCGGAGCAGCGCGCACATAATCTATCAGTTGCAGCGTTTTTTCTAGCCTCTTTTCCGAACGGAAAGAAAAGCAGCACATTCGGAATCCGATTATTACAGCGTTTGTTTAAAGCGTTTTTTATGCAATAAGAAAAGACCAATCGCTGATCGAATCTGGATTCGGTTGCGCGGGCTTGACGGGCGACCGAAAATGCAAAACGCTCCCAGGCGCGCAGTGCATCACATCTTGGGGCGGCTGGGAAACGGCTTCAGTAGTCTCAGCGGGCCCTGTTCGTCCAGGATCATTATGTTCGAACGCGTTGAACTGTTAATGCGCCGCATGTGTAGTTTCAACAGTGGGCCCCTTGTCAGCGCGATGCAGTAAGCCCCAATGGTATGCAATCGGTGCCTGATGGTACCCTCGGGCTTCTCATTGAATCCCTCACTTGCCTTTAGACCCTTTTCGGTGCCTATAGGACACCAAATTCATCATCGCGTTTACAAATGCTTTCTGTGGGTCCCACCTTCACTCGGCATTCTCGCCCAGTCGTTCCACTGGCCCGTCGCTGGTTCCACGCGGAGCCTGGGTACTCATGTAAGCTTGCAGTGTCTCATTGCTTCCCAGGGGCTACTATGACTTATGTTTGCCTCCCCGGGGCTCCCATTCGAGCGGGGGTTCTTCTCGTTGCGTCCGCGGGCCCCGTGCATTCTCTGGAATGCGGTCGCGCACGATGTCACGCCCCGCTGCAGTGGGCCCAAGCGCGGCCAAGGAGGGGCCCGACCCTTGGGCTGCCGCGGCCAACTCCTTGGCGGCCGCGGGGCATGGCGCCCTGGAAGCGGTCGCCACCGCGCGGGCCATGCTGTGGCGCCGGAAAGTCCATTGTTCCACAATGCACGCATCTACGTCGGGCCCCCCGGAATACAAGTGAAACGAGTTGTTTTTTCACCGTTGAGTTTTCGATATTAAGATGGCTATTCTGCATGCGTGTTTGCATCGTGCGCGCGCGAGCTACGGGGAAAGTGCAATGCGCCACAATGCATCATGTCATGTTGAGGCCTCCAGCATACGAGTGAGACAACTGGTTGTCGCCGTTGAATTTCCGAGCTTACAGTGGCTATTTTTGTAGAGGCGCCTGCACGATACACGCGCGCGCGAGCGCGCGCGCGAGCAACAAAAAAAACACAGCGCGCCACAGCGCATCATTCCACGTTGAGGCCCCCAGAATACAAATGAAATATTTGGTATCAATTTTTGAAATTTAGATGGCGATTCTGCCTCACTTGTCTCATTGGCGTTTGCAATGCGCGCGCCCGTGCGCGCGCGCAAGAACAACGAGGGAAATACATTGCGCGTCATTGCATTTGTCGACGTTGAACCCTCCAGAACACGAATGAAACATTGAATTTGCAGAACTGAGTTTTCGATATTTAAATGGCCATTCTGCAAGCGCGCTCGCACTGCGCGCTCGCGCGCGCGGGCAACGAGGGAAATGCATTGTGCCGCGATGCATTATTCCACGTTGAGGCTTCCCGAATACGAGTTAGACGATTGGTTCCCGCCGGTCAGTTGTCGAAATCAAAGTTGCTAGTCGGCGTGAGTTTTTGATTCGTTCACGCGCGCGCGTGCGCGCGCGGTCAACCTGGAAACTGCATCGCGGCGCGTGGCACTATTTGACGTTGAGTCTCCCAGAATGCGAGGAAAACAGTGGGGTTTGACCAGTCAGTTTTTTTTTCCAAACCTAGAATGCTATTGCGCATGTGACATTTGCATTGCGCGCGCGCACTCGTGCGCAACGAGGAACGCAGAGTGGGCCACGACGCATGATTCCACGTTTTCGGCCTCCAGAACGCGAGTGAAGCAATTGGTTTTCCACCATTCAGTTCTCAACGGTAAGATGGCTATTCTGCACCGGTTGCCCCAATTGCGCGCGCGAGCCACGAGGTCAGGCCATTGCGGCGCGAGGAGCGCGCACTGTGCCGCAGTGCATGTTTTCGCGCTTGTGTCTGCAGCATACATGTGGAACAGCTTGCCACCATCGTTCAATATGCGAGTTTCTGATGGCGATGTCGCTTCGGTTTTCGCGTCGCGCTCGCGCGGGGGCCAGCGCGCGCGCGAGCAGGGGGGGAAGCGCATTGCGCCATATTGCATTATTCCACGTTGAGCCCCCCAGAATATGAATGAAACGCAAAGATTTTGTCTTTGAGTTCTCGCAGTTAAGATGGCTATTCGGTATCAGCTTTTGCATTGCACGCGCATGAGCGCGCGCGCGAGCACTGGGGAACGCGCGCTGCATCGCAATGCATAGTTCCACGTTGGGGCCTCTTCGGGATGCGAGTCAGGCACCAGGTGAACACCATGAAGTTATCGAGCTTAGGGCGGCCATGCTGCGTCGTCTCTTCCGCTGTGCGCGCGCAAGCGCGCGCGTGCTATAGGAGCAGCGCGTTGTATCGCGCTGCATCCTGCTACGTTGGGACCGTGCGAATACGGGTGAAACTTTTTGCTTGCACAGCTCAATTCTGGCATCCAGCATGGCCGCTCGGCGCCGTTTGTTCTTGCGTGGCGCGGGCAGACTGGCAATGGGGAAGTCTCATGTGCGTCGCAATGTCGAATTCCACGCTGATGCTTTCAGAATGAGAGAAACACTAGGTTGTCGGCCGTTGAGCTTCGGAATTAACATTGCCATTCGGCAGTTAGGTCTGCGTCGCGCACGCGGGGGCTGCGCGGTGCGCTGCGCACCTGTCTCGCGCGGGGCGCGAGCGAGTTTCTGGGCCCGCAGTCGGCGGGGGCCCGAGTTTCGTCGTCGGCCGAGCCATGTCTACGGATTGCAGCTCGCAGGCGCGCATTCGCGCAGGCAGCTATTAGGCGCGCGCGCTCTCAGCCGTGCGAAGCCGCATTCGGCGGAGCCAGCGACGCGCGCGTGCCGCGATCAACCTAGAGCCCAGAGCGTGCCCATTGCGCGCCTTGCTTCAATTCCTAACTCAACGGCCCGCCGCCCGCGCTTGCGTTCGGGGCAGACCCGCTCGGGGTAGCGATATGTGCGACGTGGAGGCAGCGTCGCCGCGCCCTCCAGTGCCCTTACTGGTCCGTGATCGAGAAGGCGCGATCTTGCGCTGGTCGCTCTTGGGGCCGTCAGCGCGCGCCGCGCTGTTGTTCGATTCGGGCCCGCATTCGCCGCGACCGCGGCGGGCAATGCATTGGGGCTGGGGGGTGGGGGGGCGGGGGGGGGGGGGGGGGGGGCAAATGGCGCCTCCCCCGTTGTCCGAGATG